AAAATTCTGGGGCTGGAGAGATAGCACAACGGGTAGGGCGTTTGCCTTGCACGCAGCCAACATGGCCGACCCGAGTTCGATTCCTCCGCCCCTCTCGGAGAGCCCGGCAAGCTACCGAGAGTATTCGATATGCCAGACACAGTAACATAAAAAAATAAAACCCAAGGTTTTATGAGAGTTAATGCTTCAAGGAAAATGTGGAGTGTTCTTAAGTATTCTATGCATTTTTTTAAGTAGCCATTAACATATGGTACCTAGCATCTACTTTTAATCAATAACTGTTTTAAAATTTTAAGTCTGGTAAGGAGAAAGAACAACATCTTAACAAATGAATTTTATATTCCTCAGATCAAATGGAGAAAACATGTAGAGTAAAACAAGCTGACCTACTTATCAACTCATTCACTCACTGCCCTTATTAGTGGCCTATAAACTGTGACAAGTATGTAAAGCCGAAATATAAGTAAGACTCACCTAATCTTGATCCTTGTCCTTAAAAAATTTGAAAACAGAGGCCATGGCAGACAGGACAGGAGATAAGGCACTTGCAGGTGCTGGTTCACTCCTGACCAAAGTTGGAAATAGCCCCCTAAGTATCACCCAGTGTTGCCCAATAACCCCCAGAATACACCAAAAAAGGTGGTAAAAGATATGTAAAAAATAAAAGAAAGAAAACAAAGAAAGGTGATGGGTGCTATTAAGCAGTTATCAAAACTTTGTCAAAACAAAGAAAGAAGAATTACAACTAAATAAGAGAGCGTCAGAAGGTTCATAAGTGGGGCATCTGATCTTACAGAATGAACAGAAAATTGTCATGGGTGGAACAGCAGAAACCATGTTCAAGGAACATGGTTTATATACAAAATAAACAGGTGTTTGCCCAAGTTTATGGAGCAAACTTGTGAGTTTTAGTGTGGTTGGACTGACTGTAAAGAACATCAGAAACATTTAATGAGGCTGGAAAAGATCAACATGAACTGACCCAAAGTTCTGCTAAGAGGTCGAACCCATCGTGTGTGCGCAGCGAAAAATGAAAAGACATTTTCAAGCACGAAAGTCACATAAAAAGATCTGATCTGTTAGAAAAAGCCTAAGTCATTAGTGCAAACACTGCAAAAAATAAAGGCGTGAACGTCTGACTTCTCCTGAGTATCTTTTACACACTTCAATGTGTGTTAATGTCTCATTCGTAACAATGTTATAGGAAATATTTTTACCTATCTTTTAATAAGCTGAAGACTGAAAACGCGCTATTTGGGGAGCCTCTCAGGTTTTCTGAATCTACTGTACCACAGTGTAGGCAGTCCTGTTCTGCAAGGCCATCGCTCGTCAGCAAACTGGGTTCAATGAACAATAAAACCGATCTACCTAAATTTACTCTTATCCTAATGAAATAAGTCATTTACATTTTGTATATCATTAAAATTAGAAAACTATTATTACTGCTGCTCATTATTTCGAGATTGGACTTCTGAAAACCACCCGACTCCAGTTGGTAAGGCAGTAATATACACAAACACAGATCTATAAAGATCTATGCACAGGTCTCGTATCTAATAAACTATACCCACTAATCCCGATAACAGCAAATTACATCATCTATATAGACACATGTACATGTTTTAAAATTTATGCCAATAAATTTATAAAAGTTTGGGCAAGACTACTTATTAAAGAAATGCAAAGTTCTCAAGAAAAAACTGTACTAGACATATAAACATAGTAAATTCAAATGTAAGTTTTAAAACATATAAATCTCACTTTCTAAAAACAAACAAAAACTTGATTCTCAACTTTTCCTAGCTCACCAACACTTCTAAAATGATTATTGTATTCGAAGTATCAAAGTACTACTAAGGACAGAGGAATCATAGGTAGTATTACTCAAGCTTCAGGTCTTCTTCTATTATCTAATATATTCATTCTAGCTCCTGAACATTTTGGATTTCAAATACTTTGTTCTCAATCACTAACAATCATGCGCATGTGTGTGCACGCACTGGTATATATTAAACTATCAGCCTGAGAAAAACATGACCCCGTCTCAACTCGGTTACACACACCTTGTTCCTATTTACCAACCAGTATATAGCATCACTGTGTTCTTGAAAGACCTTCTCAGTAATACAGGCTATGTAAGAGCATGCATGAAATGATCTAAAATTTAAAGTGAGAATTTGAGTGAAAGTAATAAAACCTCGTGACAGGTTCAAAATGCCCGAGTAAGTCTTAAAATTTCAGTAGCTCTTCCAATGCAGGCTTTTTAAAGGGGTACATTATTTCAGAACTACATTATGAGTAAGTCATCAATCAACAAAGATACCTAGTTAAGCAGCTGGCAAACTGTTACCTATGAAATAGTAAAACAAACAAAAAAACCCCAACCTCTTTGCTGATGCAAAATACACATCTTAAATATGGAAATTAGAAAACACATTTTCATAATTTCATACCTATATTTAGTATATTAAAGTAAAGGCCCTCCCGTTGATCATAGATTTGCTCGAGCGGGCCCAGTAACGTCTCCATTGGAGACTTTGTTGTTACTATCTTATTTTTATATTCTGCATGCTATTCTTATAAAAATGCTAATCATGACCTATCAGATTGGTTTCAGAACCAACTAAGTGGATCAGACTGCAATGGAGGAATTCTGTCAGTTCTACTGGCTGGTTTGTGTTCGGCTGGTTTGGGGTCACACACATGGTGCTCAGGGCTTCCTCCTGCATGCGGTGTCGCTGGGACCACCGAGGCAGCCGTACGAGAGGGAAGAGCCCTCCTGCTCCCCCAGAGCTCCCGCCCCTCTCTCTTTCCGCGCACCCACCAGAGCAAGGCTGTTGCTGATCTCAAGAGGGCACCGGAAGTGCTGAATGGGAAAGAGAGAATGTCACTGGGTTCACCTTGGGTTCACTCCAGTCGCACAACTTCCCTCCCTGACTTCTGCGTCCTGCTGACTGACGCTGAGCTGGGGAACGCCTCAGAGCAGCCCTCACCGGCTCCATCAAAAGAACGTTCTGATTTGCATCAGAAGGTTTTGGACCTCGATAGTAAGAGTCTGAGTCGCTTTTGCTTAGCTTTCCTTTGGTGTAATATACTGCTGGGTGGACCAGAATAAGAGTGGATGCTAACTTGCCATCAATTTTGCTATTCCTACCGAAGCATGTCACAAGAAACTTTTATCTAACAGCTCACTCTTGGTGAATATGCCAGGAACAGCCGTGAGACTATAAGTAACAGCAGTCCTGCAAGCATTTCCTGGTCTTGGCCTTACGATATAATGTGACACTGGCTTCACAATTCACAGCAATGTGTACAGTGTCTATATTTTTCTAATCTTCGAGCTAAGTATACTTACATTTTCTGTAAAAAAAAAAAACTAACACTTTAGGTGTTGGGAGGATCCGCCCATGATGGGAGAGCATGCTGAGGGTAAACTGTCGACCAAGCATGATTGCCACTCAATGCCTCTTTTGCAGACCATGGCAATCAAAAGGAGAGAGAGGGAAATGCCCTGCCACAGAGGCAGGGTGGGATAGGGGCTGGGGGGGAGGGGATGCTGGGATCCGAGGTGGTGGGAAATGCGCACTGGTGGAGGGATGGGTGTTTGATCATTGTATAATCGAAACCCAAGCACAAAAATGTGTAAGTCTACAACTGTACCTCATGGTGCCTCACTATTAAAAAATAAATAAATAAATAAATAAATTTAAAAAAAAGATGGCAGAAAAAAAAACTAACACTTTAAATAAATACTAATCATATGAATCATGAAGTTGTTATTTGCTTCTGATAATTATTATAAATTAAACGAGACTCAGAAGAAAGGATTCTATTGCCCTCTTGTGGTAATTTTGTTTTACTGTAGTCTTCAAGTGTTCGTTCCATAAGAAAGAAGCATATTTTGACGTGCTTCTGAATTTCTGAAAGTTTAATAGGCAGCGTAGTATTTTGACATGCTTCTGAATTTCTGGAAGCAGTACATATACTTTCTTTCTCTAAAGAACATACGTGTCCTCTGTTTAGTTTCTACCTCAGAAATTTTATCCTTTCCTGGCTATTTTTAGAACATTCTCTGGTTCCTTTGCAATTACCAACCAAAGAAATTTTCTTAAAATTAGGTTTCTAATACACATGAAGTTATTATAACAAATCCATATCACAAATAAACCCTGAGTAAATGAAAGAATTAAAAACATGAGTCTGAGATGTCAGCACCATCCCCTCAAAAAGAACAGGTCTTACAGTGTTGATTAATAATCCAGCATATTTTACAATTTCAAAATAAATAATCTTTTCTTTAAAATAAACAACATCTTGGGAGCTGGTGAAAGAGCACAGGGGTTAAGCCCCTTGCTCACCGCTGACCCTGGTTCGCTCCCTGGTACCACATGCCCCAGACACAGGTGATGACATTTTCAGACTTAAAGTGTTGAAAGCAGGTCAGCAGGATCGAGGGAACAGAGTTCAGGGGAAAAGGAACTGCAAGTAAATTATCAGTGGCTGGACAGGAAAGGGAGCTGGAGAATAGATTATCATTCCGGGAGAGTGTCGAGTGAAGACAGGCCGCGTAGGCGACCGGCAGCATTTAGGGAGATTCTCACTTCCCTAGAGAAAGGTAGCTCAGTGCTTTAAACTTCATTCATGCTGGGAGAAGATCATTTATTACAGATTCCTTCTGCAGACAGAAAGCTGAAAGTCTAAGAGATGAAGATATTCTTACACTCTGTAAACACAAGTGAAACACGCAGATTTTTTATTTCTGGTTCTATGATAACTTCTGCTCCTGCCGCATAAATCTTCAGAAAACACGATGGAAAAGATCCTTCAGTAACTGTCTGAATGTCAGCACATGCTTTGGTTATTTTGTCTTTTCTCAGAGATAAAAATTGCTCTATTCTCTGTGATCCTTTCTGACTCTGGGGTGGCTGCGATCAAGTTTCCCCAGTGAATTCCACCCTAGATCCCAGAGATCAGGACAGTGAGAGGCTCCTCGGGCCTACCTGCTGGGCCTGGCTGCTTCCAGCCTGGCGACTTGATGGCGCTGGTGGAGCCTAGAGGCTTGAAGGCGGCGGCAGTGGTGAGGCTGGCCACTCCTGGCCGGGCAGAGGCCGGGCTCTCTGGCCTCTCCGGCATGGTCCGGGCGGAGGCCGCTGCTGGCGCTGGCTCCTGGGCACTGCTGGAAAACAGACAGGGGAGGTTGGAGCGGAACAGCCTTGCTGAGGCACAATTCTCTTTTGGACCTACTTGGTCTACGGAAAACAAAAACATATTAGTTTGCTAGCTGACATTTCAAAAAAAAAAAACTGCCAACTAGGACAGAGGGACAGGCAGTCCTCCTTAGAAGAGAGGAGGAGGCGGGGGAGTTCGGCTGTGGAGGGCGCTTTCCACGGGCAACACTGCCACCAGTCACCAGAGCGGACAGGCACCAGCCGCAGCGCCAGAAGGGAGCGGCAGGTGCTGGCGGAGCTCTGTGACCTTACCTCACTCGCTGTCCAGCCTCAGCAGCTCCAACTCTACGTGGGAGCAACGTTTTATCCCTCGAATGTCCCTGTGGCTTAAAGGACGTAACTGGGCCTTTTCCTGACTGTGGCTCTCAGCTTCTCTTGTTTCTTCCGGCGCTTTAATCTGGACTTGCCCACCCCACCTTTACAGGATTGTCTATGGCCCCCTTGGGGTACTGGGGAGTGGGGCAGAGCTGCGTGTGGCCTCAGCTGCCTCACTTGGCCTGCCAGTCCCTTTTCGGGAAAAGAAAACCCAGCCTAGCACCCTGGAAATCGACCTTCATAGAGCAAGCAAAAGTGCCCCTCAGCAGCACCTGAGGCTTCACGCGCCCCAGGGTCACAATGTCCCAGAGATGGTACTGACGGGAGGCCAGCACTGCTTGAAGCATTGAGCACACAGGAGGGATGAAGGGCTGATCCACGTGGTCAGCAATGGAAGAATGCATTGTGACATGTTCATGCAGTACACACAGAGGGGCCTACTGGCTGGGGTGCGGGAGGTTGGCATAGCTGGCTGAGCTCAAGCTTACTCTCAGCTTTTCACAAGGGGATCACTCCTGGCAGTACTCAGGGGACCATAGTGGGGGACCAGGGACTGAAATGGGGTTGGTCGTGTCTAGGTAGGCAAGTGCTTTACTCCTGTGCTAACTCTCTGGTCCAGTATTTTCATATATTACAAATAAAGAATTTTGAAAGCAACACTTAAGAGCAGGTTACCTTAAGTCTGGGTTAATTACTCATGTGAACTCAAAAATATAATTTATGATCCATAAAATCACAGTTCTGAGAAGAAAATTTACAAGCAGGCAATATTAAAGTTATTTATAAAACAGAAGTACAGACTAGAAACAAGCTAACCCACATTACTATTTCATATTTAGTAACCTGACAGAATTAAAATTAAAATTAAAATCTTTGTAAAGTAGCCAAAGTTAGATATCTAAGGTGACCACAATGATAGGCATTGGTAATGTCAACAATTATGAAATTTGGTTGAAGGAATTGGCAATATCAGCAAAGTGCATTAAAAAAAAAGAAGAAGAAGCACAAAGGCAGTCCTCAAATCTCTGCCCTTCAGGTTCACTTTACAGGGCTGCACTCCGTTTGCCTGATCTCAAGCGAGTCAAATCAACAGTGAGACAGATTTGGTTAACCAGAAGGAAGTACTCCCTAATACAAAAACCTCTCCAGAGGGAAAAATGCTGTTTTCAAATGGGTCTTATGAGAGGCGTCTCCAGAAACTGTGTTAGCAAAGAACGGGAATGCTGCTGAACTTAAGACGGTGACGGGAGCTGACTAGGATGAAGAGCCAAATCACACATCACTGTGACACTGGAGTCTTCTCAGCTGACGTTGCCATCTGTGCACACACCCTATTTTCCTGCCACTATGCTGTGCACACGAGGCTCTGGGATTAAGGATGCCACACGTGTGCACTCTGTCCAGCATGCAACATGCTTTTCCAGGCCTTGCAAGCGCACGCCTCCCCCTTGCGGCCTGCCTTGACACACGCGGAGCAACGACAGCAGAGAGACCCTGTGTGCCCATGTGCCGGGAGAGCCCTTATGCCCATTTCTTGGAGTCGTGTGTCCCAGCTGTACCGCACCACCGTGGGCCTGGCCACCAGGGCTGGGGGAGCTACAGGGGCCACTGGAGGGAGGAGGTGTTGTTTCTCATGTTTTTTAAAAAAACAAAAACAAAAAAAGTTTTCCAGAGGGCATTTGGTGATTTTATTTTCCTGAAACGGAGGTAGCCGGGGCCTGGAGAGGGCACAGAAGGTGGGGTGCTTGCCGGGCCTGTGGCAGACCCAGGTGCGTCCCGTAACCCCCACGCCTGCCAGGGCTGATCCCTGAGAACAGAACCAGGAGGAGGAGGCCCTGGGTGAACCAGGAAACCAGGAAGAAAAACCAAAGGAAAGGGAGCCTCACAGCCTTGGCTCAGGGACTCCTGCTCCACCACAGACTTTTCTCCCGCCAGCTCACAGCGCATATGCAAGCTTCCTCTCCGCTTTTCACGAGGGGGTCACTCCTGGCAGGGGACCAGAGTAGGGGGCCAGGGCCTGAAATGGGGTTGGTTGTGTTTAATGGCAACTGCAGTTTAATTTGTGTAGCCAAGGGTTCAACAGATCATCAGTGGCCACTTTTAATCTAACTTACCTCCTCCATTCACTGTAAACTAAACTGGGATCTTTATTGTGGCCATAAACATGTAAATTGGGGAAGTTTCCTCAACTGAAAAACAAATGGTATGAAAACACCACCTTTATCCAAGATTACTGTGAGGATTAGATCAAAGAGAGCAAATGAAATAATACATGTAAACGATTTACCACAGGGTAAATTTACCACAGAATAAACATAGGGTACACACACACACACACACACACACACACACACACACACACACACGTATACATTTATATAAGTACTCAAAAAATGATAGCAATCATAATTTCTAAATCCTATAGTATCTAGATTAGTTAATAATCACATTTTTAAAACACCTCATCTCTTCTAATAATTTTTACTTCTAATTGTAGTTTTTATATATATATATATTTTGGGTGTAAGATTGTAAGATTAACCATGATTTTGCTTCCTCAATTTAATAAAATTTTTTCCTAAAGCCAAGAGAGTTTTGTACATATTCTCTCACCAAAATTTAAAATGTTGAAACCTTAACCAGAGATCTGTAGCTACAAAGGGTATGCAGTAGATTATAAAAAACTTATCGATTATCCAAAATTAATCAAAATTAATCAGCATCTGATTCTGACTATTCTCTGGGAAACAGAATCTCATTTTACTTAAAACATTTCATATAAAATAAAGGAATCACAATCAATCACAATCACAACCATCCTGTTATTCTTCGATTGCCTGGAGCAGGCCCCAGTAACGTCTCCTTCGTCCTAGCCCTGAGATTTTTTTAAAAAGTACCATATTCAAGGCTCTTTCAGAGTTAGGAGAATGAGACCCTTCATTGTTACTGGTATTTGGCATATTGGGTACACCACGGGGAGTTTGCCAGACTCTGCCGTGTGGGCAGGTTACATTTGGTAGCCTGCCAGTTTGTCCAAAGTAGGAATGAGATGATAATAAAGGAATACTACATTTTTTTTCTAGATCAGTGTTTTTCAACTTTGTTTTACTCCGTGGACCAGTGAGTCACAGACTGGCAGCTGAAAATCAATAATCTAGACAAGCACATAGCTGAATATGATGCCTAAATCTCTAAACATCTAGCATGTCTTTTAAACCTGATTTTTAATTATTAGCTCCTATTTAAAAAAACAAGTATTTGGAAATATGTGGAAAAGACTGAGAATCAGTCACTGCCCATATTATTTTTATAATAAGTTACCAACAGTCTGAAATTAGTGACTAATTCATCAATACAGTTAACAGTTAAGTAAAGATACTGACAACTACAGTTTTATTTTAAGCATAGATATTTAGATTGGTATCTTATTTCTGAAATGTGAAATACAATTTTTTTTCTAAACTTAAGTTGGATAAGACATCCTAACCAGAATTAAAATGCTTTCTGAAATATTTTAACGAGGAAATCCGAGAAACTCCACAAATATCCTGACCCATTATCACTAAAATGAAAAATCAAATATCGTTATTGTTCACTAGTCTGCCATCTTAAAAAAAGTTGAATGCTAATATTGATTTCATCTTAACAATATTTCTTTTGTTTCTTGTTTCAAAAATTGAAAATTATAGAGAACAGAATAGAGAATGCTTATCTTCAAACTGGAGAAGGTTTAGAAAAGAAAAAGAAAAATTAGCTCTTAGTATAAGTCCAGCTGTATACTGAGAATAGCTGGAAATTTTAAATCTATTTTCAAAAGAAAAATTCTGAAGCATAGTCTCAGATTACCCTTTATTCTAATCACAAATACAAATTTTAAGGAGACAACATCACAGACTTAGTTACCAATTTCAGCTTTTAGCTAAGATCTTACTAAAAATATGCATCTGCATACTAAATTCATTGACTCTACAAAGTAGGGGAAGTAATTTTCCTAAAACTCTGTGTGTGCGTGTGTGTGTGTGTGTGTGTGAGTGTACTCGCACACATACATGTATTTCTCACAGCCGAGGCTTCACACACCCAAGCCTACACTCTCCCACGGAGGCACACACAAAAATTATTTTTTACTTCCACCAAGGGCTGGAGCGATAGCACAGCGGGTAGGGCGTTCGCCTTACAAGCAGCCAACATGGCCGACCCGAGTTCGATTCCTCCGCCCCTCTCGGAGAGCCCGGCCAGCTACCGAGAGTATTCGATATGCCAGACACAGTAACAACAAAGTCTCCAATGGAGACGTTACTGGGCCCGCTCGAGCAAATCGCCGATCAATGGGAGGGCCTTTACCTTTACCTTTACCTTACTTCCACCAAATTTCATCAAACCTTATCAAAGGACCTAGATGTATAAAAAGAGTCTCTTTTCATAATTCTTTGCTTATGAGGAAATTGGGGGGTGGGGAGATTTATCTCTTCCCTCCCCACCCCCATGACATCCAATGGCTGTTCCTGATTCTGTGGCCAGGAGGGACCCTGGCAGTATTTCGATCAGCAATAGCAGGACGTAAGGAACCCAAAGCCTTGGACTATCTTTCTGGCCGCATAACATTTTTAAAGAAAAAAAGTTTTATACTTTT